AAAAAAAAAAAAAAAAAAGAAGCCCTTCTCTGGTAACAGTCTCATTAATTTTTCATAGAATCTCTATAATATTAAAATAACAAATACTTGTTTCTTCTTCTAATGGGAGCAACTTCTGATTTCCACATTGCTCCTGCTGATCATCCCCAGAGAAACCGGCCCCTTGATGATTCCCTTGTCCTTTTAATTTTCCATTTCCCCCAAAAGGATTTTTAAAAACAAAAAGGGCTTTATTTTATCCTGGTTGCTCTCAGAAACAACAACAACAACAAGAGCCATTATTTTTATCCTATTATCTTTATTTTGGGCCGTGATATTTTAGTGAGGACAATCTTTGCCTTAAAGACAATTCCACAAGAGTCATGCACGGATTAAACCACTGGCCATGCACTGATTGATTTTTTTTTTTTTAATCTAAAAAGTGAAATAACACTCAGTGCTTCTTAATAATCAGAAAAAATATTGAGAAGAACATTATAAAAGAAGAAGAAGCAGTGTTTTCTTGTCTTCTGGAGGCAGGAATATTGAGGGCAGAGCATCTGGTGTGCAGGTTTGGAGTTCACTTTCCAGCCCCGCAAGGGAATTTTCAACTTCGGAGTTTTTCAATGTATTTATTAAAAAAAAAACAAACCTATTTTGGGGCAGCTTCTCTACCATGTTACAGTCGATATTTAAAGTAAATGTGATCATGAAAAGTGTTGCAGAGCGACAGAAATCTGAGCAGCGGCTCATTTTGCATATAATCCTGATTTTTTGGGGCTCCTGTTTATCAAGGAAATTAAAACAAACAAAAAACAAACAACCCAACAAGTGATGCCTGAAGTGAACTGAGAAGCTTTTGTGAGTGCAGATTTCCCCTGAACTCCCACAGAAAAGCTGTTTTTTTTTTCCTGAAAGGGTTAAAATCCCACTGTGGGGCCGGGATGGAGAGGCAGAGGAAATAGGAGGTACCTGGAAAGAACCCTCTGCTCCCTAACACTGCCCAGCTGCTTTTCCCTCCGCTCTGCTCTTCTTCCCCAGGGCTCCCTGATCTTCCCCTTCTCCTCCAGCCCCTTCCCAGTTTTCCTGCTCTGGGTTTTTGTCCCCAGCATTCCGGGTTTTTTTCCCGGTGGGGAGGATGAACGCCCTGGCCGTGTTCACGGTGTCCATTCTCTTCTGTGTTTCGTGCCTCTTTGCAGCTCTGGGTGTAAGTTCCCTTATCCCAGCGAGGTTTTTTTGTGTTTGTTTTCGTTTTCCCTCTCTGGAGTATTGCTGGGAGTGTAAATTTTTGGGAGTTGAGTGTTTTTTGGAGTTGCTGTGTCAGCAATAATTCAAGGGTTTCAGTTTTAATCAAAGCTTTTTTGCAGCTCTGCCTTCTAATGATTAACTGATGTTTTCTCCAAAGTGCACTGAAGGATTTCCCTTGGAATGCTGCTGGGAGAATGCTACTTGTCCAGCTTCGTTTTGGGGATACATGTTTTCAAAACAACGGGAATTTATCATTTGTTTTCTTTTCCCCTCAGAATATTTAATTTCTTTTTCAAAACCTGTTCAAAAAAAGGTGAATTGACTTAACCAAAGATGCATTTTATTGTAAATTTTTATCCTTTTTAATATTTTGAAATATTAATTTTCTTTTCAGTGGAGTAACAGAGAACATTTGCTTTTGTCTTGCAGATTGCATTCTCACAGCACAGCAACTTTATGGACCTGGTGCAGTTCTTTGTGACGTTTTTCAGGTACTTTTCATTTAAGGCACTTAAATCTTTCTTGGGGGGTTTGATGTGCAGTGTTTGGGTTGGTTTTTAACTTAAGCATCC